CCTGCTGATTTTTAAAATAACATTAAAGGAGAAAGTTTTATTGCTGCCCTGAACAATTCTTTGTACTATTATGAGTAGCTGACTGATGCAAAGGTAATATTAATGTAAAGCTGCTAAAAGCAAGGTTTAAAAAAGTAGTTCTGAAAGTTAAATATATTATATGTAGGTTTAATTCGTGTCCTTAGCTGGTTCTTTAAGAGGGGAAGGAAAAGTACGTCTCTATTTCTTTTTTTGAATCAGTTACTACTTTTCCTTTTGACCTATTCTCTGTTATTTAGCTATAGGCTGTTTCCTTTCTGAGAAAATTTTAGTTTTAGAAATATCTGCTTGACAGCCATCTAAATAGAGTACCTAATTCACATTACACAATGCCAGTAAAGAGTATTAGAAGCTACAATAAATGTGGCGTGTTACAGCACTTTTACAAAGTTAAAATGACATTCTATATTAAATATACGTGGTATATATTTGTCTACCTAGGAGGAAAACAGAACTATTTGGGTCATCACAGGTCAAAATAATTTATTCTTTCTTACAGCCAGAAGATATGTTTGTTTGTGACATGAACGAACAGGACATCAGCAGTCCTCCACCACACAAGAAACTAAAGAAAAGCCAGTGCACACCTCTCTTTATGAATGCCTACACTATGAGAGGTGTGTAGCAAATGTTTTTAGTTCAGTGGTGACTGAAACACTGTATATACACATCCACAAAATTGAAATTCAATACCATATTCTTTATACATGGAAGTTACAGTGAAATGAACATGAAACTATAAAATAAATAGATTTGCAAAGCAATATGTACCATGGAAGGTATCATCTTTTCTGCACTCATTTTTAGTGCAGTATGTTGTATATATAGTATTGTATATTGTAGTGTATATATAGTATTGTAGTGTATATATAGTGTTGTAGTGTCTATATAGTCTTATATATTGTATATATAATATTGTATATATAGTATAAACAATACTGTATATATAGTATAGTGCAGGAGGAGCTGGGGGATTTACAGCAGTTTTATACCAGTAATTTTGCCTATTCAGCAGCTATGTTTTATATTGTTTTACAACCCCTGGCTGTGACCAAAGGTTCTAAATTATGAATAGGTGAAAAAAGTATGAAACTTTTCTTTTGCAGGTGGACAGTAATAGAGAGCTTTTGCTGTTGTGTAAGATTTACATCTGTTACTGTTGAAAGAATTTAGGGAGTCTCTTCTGATCTTCCCTCACAAGAAGCTTACACGTGTATTGAGGAAAACTCATTTCATAATTTTGGCAACATTGCAACTTTATAAGTAAATTTTAATTATTGTCTACCTATCTTTCCATCATAACACAATAAGATAACAGTATTTTTTTCAGAGAATCAGTGTATAATCAAAGAAGAGCACTAGCATAAAAAGAAAGTAAAAGTCTTTAAACTTTAATCTCACAAATAAGTTTGGGATTTCTTTAGAATCTCAGAGCCCTGATAAAATTAATAGAGTATTTCAGTCATGACAATATGTAAGAAATGGACAAGTAGTGTTTCTCCTTGAATATGTGCAAGTAGTTTGTCTCCTGGAATTTGTCACTAACTAAAACTTAACACTAGTGTCCTAAAACAATCCATAATTACCTTTTATAGATGAGTAATTATCTCATAACATTTATTTAGGTTGGTCTATGTTTTTTCCTCTAATACAGTGGATCACCATTTACTAAGATACCCAGACAAAACAAATGTCAATAAAATTTTCTTAATAGATGCATTTTAAAATTAACTCTAAAAATATATTTTTTTCTTCTTTTTCTGTTCTTAGGGGCAGGTGCAGTGATCCATACTCATTCCAAGGCTGCTGTTATGGCTACCCTTCTTTACCCAGGGACTGAGTTCAGTATTACCCATCAGGAGATGATAAAAGGAATCCAGAAGTGTACTTCAGGAGGCTATTACCGGTACTTCTCTATATTTAAGAGAGGCATGCTATTTGATTGGTTTTTTCAGCAATATACATAGATGACAAGTCATTTGAGTTGTGTGTGTAATATAATGTATTAGGAATAAGAAGTAAAAAGAACTCTGGAATAAATGAGTCATTGGCTTTCCCTAAGAAGGTCTCAAGCCTATGGAAGAGATCTGTGATAAAATCTTGTAATGTCAAGGCTACTGTGGTCTGAGCTACAGAAACAAACCAAATAAAGAGCTATGTCCTAACAAATATCTCAAGAACAGAGATGTTAACGCACCTATACAATGTTAAACTGAAACCGGAGCCAACCAATGTTAAGTTGGATTGATAACACACAAACTACGTGTGGGTGGACTTCACATATCACTGCCTGTGCTAGTTTAGGGCGTGTTAGTAGAAAATTTCAGATTTTATTTGACAGACTTTGAAAGAAAATTCAGAATAAACAGCTCATTAAAGATAATATTATTACTTTTCAAGGATAAGCTCTGAGGTAAGTGCTGAGTTATTCCAAATTATGTGTGATGGCTTGTTTTGAGGACTCCACCCACAGATTGTTGAATTGGGATCTGCAAACAACATTTATGTAATGTATGACAATTAGATGAAAAATGGAAATGCTAAATTCTTTCCACTTTTTGATGTTAATTTTTGTAACTAACTATTGCCCTTTGGCAAAGGAGCAAGCCATATGTCTGGCATGTGTTTTTATGCCTGGGTATATTTTATTCAGTTTTGGTAGACTTGCCAGCTTTACCTTCTTGTCAGCATTAGCACTTGTATTTTTAATGTGGCAAAGGACACCCCTTATATTGTCTAACAACACTGGTTTTAAAAAAACAATCAATTTTCTTTTTTGGATATGCATTTTGAATTCTCAAACGTTCCTAAATGTTAGTCAGGAGATAGTGTATTTATTGAGTTCCATACCTCTGAGTGACAACTGTGTCATCCTGTTAATTTACCAGAAAATCTAAAGAAATCAAAGCTCCAGATTACATGGTTCCTAAGTACACATTCATCCATACTAGACTGATTCCACTGTCTTGCCTCACACAAGGCTCCCCATTGAACTCAAAAGAAATTCAATAATACAGAATGGGGTCTTTCAAAAAAGAGATTGACAATATATTGTTTCTAATTACATAAACCTTTCTGGAAACTATCCAGGAAAATGCTACAGATAGGATAATCAGAAGTATTTGTTGGCCTAAATATGCTCCCAGTGATGCCAGAATAGTTTTACCTTTGACTTCAGTAGAAGGAGAACTACATCTCTAGTAAATAGCTTTGAAAGTCTCAGATTGTCCCAAGATATTTTACATGAAGGTTTGGTTATACATAGGGTGCTTATATTTCAGTAAACCTAAAAAGATATCAAGTATTTAACTCACTCCGAATCTTCTTGGGATTTTATAGATATAGTTCTTGATAAAAAGCTTATGGTTATGATTAGGAATCACTCACAGTATTTATACCTGCTTCCAAACTCACATCCAAGTAGAAAACAGAACCTAGGGGAAACCAATCCCTTAGCTCATTTGGCCTCACCTAGTAACAAACACTCCAAATCTAATTTTAGTGATCAGAATATGTAAGAGTCAAAGTAAACCTACAAAAACCACTTAATTTTCTTAATTGACTATTTTTATAGACTTCTTTGGGAAAGCATCAGGATTGAAAACTGTAAGGGATGAGACTTCTTAATTTTCTGAATATCTGATTTGAAGTACTAGCTGTATTATTTTTACTATTGCTTTCTCTGTGTTTTATAAAAGTAAATACTACTAGCATCCACTCATGAAATACCTATGTGATCTCAATGATAAATCTAAACCTGAACTGGGGACTTATTAAAACTACTTAAACAAGTTTCTGCCAGTGTTAATTAAGGTTCAAACAATGCCAAATATCCCAGTCCTCCTTCAGAAGAAACTCTTAGGCAAGTTCCACTGAGTAACATGCATCATCTTGTCTTTGGAACTGGGGTTCTCAGGCTCTCTTAAGATCACATATAGCCCACCAATGACTCCATCACAGAGTATTTATTTTTCACATGTTGACTCTACTTTCTATATATATGCCTTAGCAGGACAATCTTATTTCCAGGGGCTTTTTGGACTAAATTATTTTTTTTCTGCTCTCCAGCAAACAGCTTCATTTCCTTCTTCATGATGTGATTCTTTTAAATAATTTATTCTGAGATAAAGCTTGTAGGTGTTGCCAATACAGGATAAAGAGAGTCTGAAAAACTTGTGAAGGGGCACAACTACAAAGTGATATGTGAACAGCTACACCTAATATCTTATAGTGTTATTTTCTTTTTGTGCCTCAAGTGTAGCTCAGGTATTGCCAGCATAGCATATGTTTGGGAGTGAGAGATGTTCCTGAGAGTTCTTATGTTACAGCGTGACTCACAAGACAAAAGTGTAAAATCACTAGCGTTGACAATTTGTTAACGTCTTTACACAGTCAAAGGACAATCTCTTAGAGAAAAGCTTTATACATCCAAACATAGCATTTTTTTAAATACACAAACATTCATTTTTCTTTTAGATATGATGATACACTAGTCGTTCCCATTATTGAGAACACACCAGAAGAGAAGGATCTCAAGGAAAGAATGGCACGTGCAATGGAAAAATACCCAGACTCTTGTGCTGTATTGGTCAGGCGTCACGGAGTTTACGTATGGGGAGAAACATGGGAAAAAGCCAAAACAATGTGAGTACAATTTAGGAACATGGTATCTTTTGCCATAATACCTCAAAATCTTAATGATCTTAATGTCATGTGTATTTCCAACCTATGGACAATGATTCAGAACATTAAGTTCTGGTGTCACTGGGAATGGGTTCATCCATGATTCCACGGCTTATTTTTCCTTTCATACCAATGCTGGCTGATAGGGTTCTCAGCATTTTCCTTTGATACGGACAAGTTCCCCCTCATATGAAACCTGAAACTCTGCTTTTATATGACACCTGCTGATACTGTTTGTGTAGTCTTCCCTAGTACCATTTTTGGAATTTACTTCTTCATTTGCTGATGGAAATGCAAGTCAGGATCATGTAGCAAAAATGCTGGGCACTTTCCATACCACAGTAATGGAAGTAAATGATGATAGAGCTGTCCAGTCGGACCATCACATTAGCGATGAAAGATTGGCTCAAGGAAGGAAACTATTCATTTTCATAAAACATCCTAAGACTTGAGCCTTATTTTACATTTCACTTTCTTTTCATTTTAGGTGTGAGTGTTATGATTACTTGTTTGATATCGCAGTGCAGATGAAGCAGCATGGGCTAGATCCTTCAAAATGTCCAGCAGGAGAAAACGGGATCTTGTAAATGACAACAACATTTATATTCAGGTGTGAATTTATCTGTAGATATGATCTGTTTGGAGGAAGAGACTAGAGATGACAACTTCACTTCAGTCTGCTTTCCCACTCAGGAAACTTCAGTATTGCACATCTCCCCCACTCCACTCCATTACCATTGCAATTGTATCTATGCCTGAAATAGTGCTCCTTTACCACACAATGCAATAAAAAGATATGTATTAATAATTAAGTATGTCCTGTGCATATTTTATCACCTATGTACAGCATGGAGTGCAATTGCTTTTTAAAACTAAATTGTATCAAGCATTACCAGAAAAAGCCAATGGAGAAAAAAAGACCCCAGCCTAGTAAGTATCATCTATACAGAGATGCTGAACACCCACTTTTGTTATTCAGTTTGCAGGATCAGGTTTGATTTCAGTCCATCTCAGTGGTATTACTTATACGGTGGGTTAGTTTTGGGGTTTTTTCCTTGAGCAGAAATGGCTGATTGCAATTTGATTTAAGTTGCATCGATTAATGTCACCTGTTCACCTCATACAGCATATTGCCATGACTTTCTGTTTTCTGATGTAGCAATGATCAATGTTTTGAAAGTTTTCATAACAAATATTTTAAAGTAAAAGCACATAGTTACATGATCAGGCAGTACTTTACATGAAGGATCCCTGAAACAATTCTCACGTAAGCAATATACAGCTTGGTATGACAAAACACCATGGTAGTGAGATGTTTCAGAGTCTGGGACACTTCTTCCTGAAAATCTAAGCAAGTGTAAAGATAACCAGTACTGAGATTATAAAGGAGTTGCTAGGCGAAAGCGGTGGTCTAATTAAACAGGGTGGGCTAACTTGTTGCACAGAGTTGGCTCATCAGATAACCGTCTCCACCCACTGCATTTGCATCAGAAGAGATGACAAATAGCTGCTCAGGCAGCATGAGCCCAGAACAGAGAGATACTTGGATCATTAGCCTTTATGCCCACACTAGAAGAGGAAGCAGTGGGACAGGAGGCTTGCTATTAAGTGGTCCCTGCATGAACAGGTATTTGGAGTGCTGCCACCACATACAGCGATGAAGATATGCTGGCTACCAGACATGCAAAGAGCTACCTCACAGCCCACAAGAACTGTTCTAAAATTGCTCCTCAGCCACTGCAGTTGAATAGGTTCGACTAATGCAGTGGCATATTCCTTTGTCTATTTCTTATTACTAATACCTAGTTTTAGAATATTTTCACTTTTACCTTGTTTCTCCTATACAGGTTTCTGACATGATGATGATTTCTGACATGATGATGATTTCTCATGGGGAAAGCCCATCTGTTTATTGAGAATAACACCTCACACTGTTAAAACCAGAAGGGGGTGCTGTTATACTCGGCTGATTGACATATGTTAGCAGTCAGTTTTGACTGTTAAACACATCCAAGAAGAACAGGAGAGTTAAAACAAACAAACAAAAAAAAACCAAAAACAAATGCTGAACAATCATTGCTATTTATGATCCCTGTCAAATCCTACACTAAGAGGAATGAAAATTCAGATGCAAAAAAAGATTTTGAAAAAAGCTGTGGAGAATTAATGTGATGTTTTCTTTGCATGCTTTAAAAATTAATATTTCAACAATGTGTATTTGTTGATCCTGCTCTAATGCTGTATCATTTAACTTGTTCTAGGTCTCCATTTCTGAAAGTTAGAGTAGCCTTTATTGTTGGGGAAAAAATGTGAGGATGAGCCCTTAATTAGAAGTTAGGTATAAAGTTTTTGTTCAAAGCATTGTTTGAACTGTTGATTCATTCATATTGTGTTCATAGTTTGTTTGGTTTTTTTTAAATTAAGCCTGTAGCATTATATATTTTTAAATTCTCTTAATTGTCATTATAATTAGTAGGAAACATAATTTTATAGTGTGCATTTGGAAGTTATTACTGAGAGACTGCTATGAGTCTTGTCTGGTTTTTATCTCTTCAAATTCATTCACTTTCAATTAGATTTTGTTTATTACAACTTTAAAACAGCTTTTTACGACCTATGATTAGACAGCCTAAGGCAGATTTAATCAAACTGCTCATTAAAATATTGTCTCACAAATTTATGTATCTTAGTGCCTTCTTTCAAAATCTGGAATGCCCCAGTGGCATCAGTCTAAGCCTTGATTGACCAACTTTCTGATTGAGTATTGAGACTCTAGTCCCAAGGGTGAATTGAGACAGGGTAAGCGCCAATTGACCTTGTTTTCTGCTAGGGGCCATGCATTCCCACCACTTCCCCTTGCGTCATCTCTGGCACTTTTTTGACCTTCTGTGAGCTTAACTTTTTTGAGCTTAACTCTTCAGCCTAGGAGAAAACTACTGCGGGAGTGGGAGGAAGAAAAATATGATATAATTCCTAATAAGCCACAGGTAAAACATTGAATCAACTCAGAGGTGGGTTGAAAGAGAACCAGAGAACAAAGAGAAACAGAGCTTGGGCAAAAGAGGAGATGGCTGAAGCCAGGGGTAGCAGACACCACTTCTCCCATTTAATGGGGGTGACTACTTAGTCGGCTGTTTGTGGACAGGCATTCACTGTGAAGAGTTTAGAAATAACTGAAATCTGTGGAAAGTATTCTACTAAACTTAGAAGTCATGAAGAAACTTCTTATATTTTTCACCCATTAATGAGCATTGACTTTTCTTTAGTTATGTATGTCAGACTACTGATTATAGCACAACATGCCATTAGTCTCTCTAGTTACTGCTAATTGCATTGTGCTGAACTTGCACAAAAAACATCCTGCTTTGGCTTGGTGGGTATTTGTGTCCCCATGTAACAGTAACAAAATTCATTTGCAGTAAATCATCATGGTATAAGCCAAGTGCCTGCTGACCTGATCCAACCTGCTAGGTACCAGCTGTTTCTAAGCCGTAAATTGTGGTCACCTGTGCCATGACAGCCTGGAGTAGCCACCAGAGTTGTTGCAGTTATGATGCCAGTTTGTCAGCACCCAGAACCATCTTATCTCCATGTTCTCATAGCAGCTACAGCCTACCTTTCTGTGCTGCACAAGAGAGCATGTTCGGTACCAGACCAAGAGCAGCTGTCAAAGATGACATCAAGACCTCAACTGGTGAAGTTACCACTACACAGGAATGATTCATTATAGAATGATCTGCCATCAGAAACTTGCTGAGTATTCATCTATCAAGATAACATACCCTCACCTTTCTGGGATGCTCCAAATTTTCTCAACAGGAAATACCTAAGCCCTGTTCTCAAATTTTCCTGTCACTGTCAGTCACCTATCAAGCAACTAAAGAGTTGTTAAAGGAATTGCCATATAGTTCAGATTGGCCTCTTTTTTACCCTGTGATGACTGGACTGCAAGACTCACTAGCATCGATTACATGAATTTAATTGTACAAAATCTTTGCCATTCTATTGTTACAGTAAAAGAATAACCATATTTAGTTCTTTTCTGGGTTTCCTTACACGTTAGGAACACAAGAATAGCACTGACTGCTTTGTGGTATATGCCATTGACTTTATTTCTGAACTCCCTTCCCAAACACTTGTGTTACCTGATTCTTAAAATTTGTAAAGCGTAGTGGTTCTATGCTGACAGATTGGCAGGTTTCATTAAGATGGATGTCTTGTGACCATTAGGCACGTTTGTGCTTCGCTACTGTAAGTAGTGCCATACCTGCAGTGTATAACCTTTAAATCTTAGGGGGAAGGTGACCTTAATTATTGTGAAATAGTGGTTATTGCTAAATTACTGCAGGTTGTTGACTATAAGTTTATTGATACCTTTTTTTGTTATTAGACACTTGTTTGTCAGTGGCAGATATTTTGTAGTGACTGCAAATCTTGTGAGTGTATGTGGATTGCGGTAAGAACTTGGGTGAAAATGTTATTTTTTACATCAGAGAGTGTCTTTGGGTCGGCTGCGTACTCCTCTGCTCCACTTAAGCACAAAATACACCTGTAAGTATTTTCAAGACTT